TTGACGTACAAAAAAAAATAAAAACAACAGCAACAGCATTTATCAAGAAGTAATTTTTTAAATTGAATTTAATATTTAATATCGGACGAATCACAAATAAATAGGCATTAGTTTGCGTTGAAAACCGGAAGTAATTGAATATTTTAAAAATTATTATGAGATAACGTGTAACGGAAAATGTGTCGTCGTGAATGTAGTAGTAGTACCACCACCACCGACCGGAAAAGTAGTCGTGTGTGAAAAAGATAATAATAATAACGGAAAATGAGGAAAAAATTTAATTAAATAATAGGATAATTCATTTTCCGTTTGGAAATTTCCCTTTCCCCCCCTTCCGAAAAAAAAAAAAAATTTATCGACACCTGTGACACAAGAAAGCAATGAATTATCATCATTACTAGTGACACGTCAGCTTTTTTTTTTTTTTTTTAGTATTCCATTCAATGCTCGTTCGATCTTTTTTACTTTTTTAAGATTTTTTTTTTTTTTTTTTTTTATTAATCATTATAACACGTCGGTTTTTTTGTCGTACGCCATTTTTTTTCCCCCCGTTTCTTTTATTCTTTAAATGGTTTATCGCCTTAATAAATTTCCCCTGCCCCTCTCTTCCCCCCCCCAAAATAAAAATACAAATTTGAGATACTTAAATTTTTGTATTGTTCAAATTCGACATTTTTTCATTTAATATTTAAAAAAAAAAAAAAGAAAAATTTTCGTGTGAAAATAAATTTCGTGGAAGGGAGAGTGAGAAGGGAGGAAGGGGGAGGAGGAGGGTTTAAATCTAAAAACACGATTAAAAAAAAGAAAATTTTAACGTTTGGAAAAACAAAAACAAATAAATAATAATCCTATTAAATAATTTTTCCCGCACGTTATTATTATTATTAATTTACATTAATTCGAAAGATTAACAATTCTCCCATTCATTCCCTCATTCATTCATTACAAAATAATTTAACTTACGTGATTTTTTTTCGACACACGCACACGCACACGCACAAAAGAGAAAATTTAAACACGGAAAACATATTTTCATCCATTGTCATTTTCTCAAACAAAAAAAATTATTATTATTATTATTATTATTATTATTATTATTATTATTATTATTATTATTATTATTATAACTATTACTATTATTTGTAAACAGGAAATTAACGTTTTCCTAACGACGACGACGATGACGACGTGGGGGGAGGGGAGAAACACTTAATTTTCCTTTCTTAAAGAGAAAAAAAAAACATAATGACGTAATATTGTGTAAAAAAAATTACGTCATTAGTTATATCTTTCGTTATAAAAAACAAAAGTATTTGTTTAAATTTATTTTATTAAACAAACGAGGATAAATAAATTATTTTTTTTAAACAAAAAAGTTTATTGAAAAACGTTAATTTATTTACTTATTTATTTATTTATCTTTCGTTTATCGTGAATAAAATTAATTAAAGATTTATTTATTATTAAACGATTTTTTTGTTTTTTTCTAATTTAAAAATAATAATAATAATAAGATTTTTTTAATTTAGTCAAAGGTAAAAAAAAATTGAAATTAATTAATCAATCAATCAACAACAATGGATGATTAAGAGATCCCCACTAAAAAAACGGGAAAAAAGGTTTTTTTTTTGTATTTAATGAAAAAAAAAAAAAAAAAAAAAATTTCCCGTGGGACGAACGAAAGAACGAACGATCGACGCCATTTTGTTTTTTATTATTTTCCTTATATATGTATACATATATATTAAAATTTATCGATAATTTTTAGTAAAATAGAATTTATTATTATTATTATTATTAGTATCAATACAAACATTTTTAATTGGGTTATATATAAAATTACAAAAAAAGGGAAAAAAATTCGAGAATGAATGAATGAATGAATGAATGAATGTGAAAAAAAGAATGAATTGAATTAAATGTACGTTGAAAAGGTCTAAAAATTGGGGAGGAGGAGGAGGGAGGGAGAAATGGGGGGAAGCGAAAGGATTTTATTCAAATCGAAAAAAATATATATACATATTATTGTTTGTTTTTGTGTCGTGGAATGAGAAAAAAACGTGGAACGAGAACGGATAAAAAAAAAAAAAAGAAGGTGACGATGACTTTTTTTTAGGAATTAAAATAATTAAATTTTTTTTTTTTTTTTAAATAAAATTTTCAAGCGTGATAAAAAGAAAGGAAAATTAAAAAAGGAAAAAAATAATAATAATTTATCGGGTTTAAAATTTAAAATAAATCCGAATTGAAAATAATAATAATAATAATAAAAGTTGAATATTTTAAAACAAATAAATCATATAATTAACGTAAATCTCGTTGATGATTATTATGATGATAATAATAATAACGATGAGGGGGGGGGAATAAAAAAAAATTCAAAACGCGATACGTAAAAAAAACGGGAGAAAAACCAATATGGCCGACTCAAATAAATAAATAAAGTTCAATTATTATTACGGCATGTGATAAAAATGAAAAATTACTTTTTTCCTATCCGTATATAAAATTTAAAGGGAAAAATTATTATTATTATTATTTTATAACTTTCGGAAAAGAAAAAAAGAAAAAGTGTGTAGAAAATAATATTTCTAGAATTTTCTTTTTTTTTTTTTGGTTATTTACTTTAACGTCGGTTACATTTTTGATTTTCCGTTGTCAAATTTTTTTCGTTACGTCATAAAAATTCAAAAGAATTTTTTTTTAACGCTCACTTTTTTTTTTTTTTAGTTTCAAAGGAAAAGCGTTATTAAAATCCAACGATTATTAAAATATAATATAAATAACGAATTCGTTATTTCGTTTTTTTTTTTTTTTTTTCATTTCGTTCCGCCATATTTGTTTTTTTTTTTTGTGTGTTTTTATTGACTATTATTTATTTTTTTTTGATTCCATTGAAATTTTGCCTTAAGCGAAAATGATTTTTAATGACTTTTATCCATTTATTTATTTATTTATCGTTGTTGTTGTTGTTTTAACATTCAAATTATTATTATTATCACCATCGTCGTCATCGTCGTCGTCATAATCGTGACTTTTTTATTTCTGTTCGGTTGGCGTTGGCTAAAGTTTAATTATAATTAAAAGTTTTCCTGACGTTAATCAACGAGAGCAAAATGCTCGGTTAACAGCTTTGAAAAAACTTTTCAAAGATTTAAAATGTCAGAATTTAATGAATTATGAGATTTATGTAAATTTTATTTTATTTTATCTTCATAATAATAATTATTATTATTATTATAAATGTTTTTTTTTTTTTTAAATAAATAATGATAATAATAATTCGTGACGTCGAATCAATTTTTATCCACGTTATTATTATGTAATAATCGGTCGTAGATAATTTTTTTAAATTTTTACAATCGTCTTCTTCCACGTTAAAAAATTTGGGAAAAAAAACAAGAGTGTAAAATAAATAATTAGCAGACGACGTTAATTTCACGTGAGTTATCAAATACGAGCGGAAAAACAAAATCCTTAAAAAAGTTTTTAAAATTCAAGACGAAATTTTTTTTTTTTTATTCTCGACGTTTTTAACACGAAAAACAAATTATTTATTTATTTGCTTATTTACTTATTTATTTGTTTATTTATTTATTTTTTGTTGTTGTTATTTAAAACACATCCGAATTTTAAACACCGGATATCATCTCGTGAAGAAAGAAAACTAAGAAAAATATAACGAATCAAATATACATTTAAATAAACGTGACTGGAATTATTTCCCCCCCGCTCGCACCTTCCCCCCCAAAAAAAAAAATAAATAAATAATGCTTCATCATCATCATCATCATCATCCAAAATTTTAATGTAAATTTCTGCAAAGAATACAACAAACAACGAAACAACCAACCAACCGAAAAAATTCAATAATAAAACATTTTAACGATGGCCATTAATTTATTTTAAATAAAAAAAATATCATCATTATTATTATTATTATTATATATATTATTATTATTATTATACCACTGCTACCGAGGGTAAAGGTTTTTTTTTTTATTACGTTCGTTTATACATTAGAATTATGACGTTTTATGTATTTTTTTTTTTTATTTTATTTCGCGGTACCCTCGAACGACCTTTCGGAAAATTTAATATTTTACTAAAAAAAAAAGGAGAAAATGGAAAAAAATGGAAAAAAAGGAAAAAAAATGGTTTTAATGGTGTAAGTAAATTAATCAAATAATAAAGGAAGTTTCAAAATAACAAATAAAATCCTGAAAAACCTGTTGCTGCCGCCGTTGGAATTACAACGACCGCCCCCTTCCTCCCTCTCCTCCTTTGCCCCCCGCCTCCGCCTCCCCATTCTTCTGCCACTTCGTAGTCCGCTGCCTCCGCTACTTCATCATCATCTCCCTCCCTTTATCCCTGCCTCCGACAAAAACCCTATTTCAAACGCTTTTCCTCTTTGTGTTTTCATTTTCCCTTCCTCTCTCTCACTTTCTCTTTCTTTCTCTCTCTCTTTCACTTTACACCGATGTCAATTTGAAGCCTTTCTGATTTCCTCATTTCCTCAAACAGGTTTTTTTTCTAGAAATTCCATGGCTTGAAAAATAAAAAAATAAAAAAAATAAAAAAAACTTTTTCGTGCCTCTTTTTTTTTTTATTTGAATTTTTAAAATTTTTTCCTTTTGCTTTTCCTTTTTTTTCCCCCCGGTTTTTTTTTCGTGTAGTTAAAAAGTATTAAAAACGATTTAATCATCGGTTAAAACCGTTTTTTTTTGTCCTGATATTGAAAAAAAAGGAAAAAAGGAAGAAAAAAAGGAAAAACTCTCGAGTTTTTTTTTTTATCATTACAAAAGAATTTGTTATGGATCCTTAACTTTGACCGTTATTTTTTTTTCAAATTTTTTTCTAAATTTTCCTTTTGTAAAAACTGATTTTCACGCGCGATCGACTGGTTTTCTTTTTGGGGGGGTGGGGGGCAGTGGGACGGTCTTTTCGAGTCACGAAAATGTTAAAATTTTTTTGTAAATAAAATTTATTATTTTTACAGAATGATCGGAGGAGTGGCAGGTCGACACATGAGCACCCGCCGGCGGGGTAGCTCACCTATGGTACGACTTGGAGGAGGTTCGGAACAATTAGAATGTATGTTGCAGGCCAACATGCAACCGATGGGACATTACAGAAGAAGAAGAAGAGCCGTGACAACATCGGACCACAAATCATGTGCCCTAATACAAACGAGAATCAAATTAGGTGATATTATGTAAGTTTTTATCTCTCTTTTTCACAATAATAATGTTTTGATAACGACTGATAAAAATTTTCCAATTTTTTTTTATTTTCAATATATCGATCCATTTTTCTTTTCTTAATTACGTTTTATAAACGAAACAAAACAAAATGTCGGAAATAAAAAAAAAAAAAAAAAAAAAAATTACGTTGACGTAATCACGGAAATGAGAAAAATTAAATGAAAAAGGATATGTGAAAATTAAAGTTAAATTTTTGTGTAATTAGTTGGGGAATTCGTGGGGGGCGGTGGTGGTCATTTCCCACAAAAAAAATCAAAAAACAACCCTTTACGTCGTCGTCATCATTTCCTAATAACCTTTTCCGGTTTATTATAAGCTTCATTTTAGTTTAAATGAGGGAGGGGGTTTGAATTTAGATTTTACGTCATTAATTAAGAAAAAATAAATTTTACTAATAGGTTTTACAGGTTACCCCCTTTTTCCTACCTTTTATATTTTTCCTTTTTCAACATGACGTAAAAAACTAAAAAATCTAAAACTTTTATTATCATTATTATTATGATAAACAATAGAATATAAATAAATTCGTTAAAATTCATAGAATTCAAAAAAAAAAAAATTTTTTATTTGACGCCATTAAAAATGATGGGAAATAGACAGTTTCGGTATATTAAAATAAATAAATCATCATCATCATCATCATCATCATCATCATCGTCGTCATCTTCATGAATTATTCAGGTACGAATCATTTTTTTTTTTTTTTTATTTGACAAATTTTTTTAAATTTTTTTTTTACCGAACGCCATTAAACTCCCTTTAAAAAAAATTATTTATTTATTTATTTATATTTAAACGTTTTAATTGATTCGTTAAAACCGGAAATGACGAAATTATTAGAAATTTAAATGGAAAAAAGGAAAATTTGATTGGTTGATTATTAAGAGTAGAGGGGGAAGACGAGGTAAAAGTGGGGGGAGTTAATTATTTTAAAGTTTAACGAAAGGAAAATGAGATGTGAAAAAAAAAAATGCAATGTTGCTATATAGTAGAAAATTTTAATGCCCCGTTTTTTTTTTCCCCCGGTTTAAATCGTTGTTTTCGATTTCGAATATTTATTATGTATATATATTTATTTTTTCTTTCTATCGCTTGAAAATATTTTATTTTATTTTTTTTTGTAAATTTTGTAAATCGTTGAATAAAAAAAGTAAATTTTTCGTTTTTTTTTTATTCACAAAAAAAAAAAAATTTCAAATTGGCCCTTTTTTTTTCAAATTTGTTTTTTTTTTTTTTTATAAGTTTCCTCTTTAAATTTTATTCCGTTTTTTTTTTTTTTTTTTTTTTTGAATATATGTCGACAAATCTTTTCTTTTCACACTTTTTTTTTTTCTCTCTTCACTTTTTTTTTTCTCTCTTCACTTTTTTTACACCTGAGCACTTTTTTTTCACATGACAGACTTTTTTTTTTCTCCTTTTGTCGTTCGAAAAAAAAAGATCATTCACTTTCGATAAAGTTTATTTATAAAAAAAAACGACGAGTAAATTATAAAATTGACATTCATTCTTTTATTATCATTATCATTATCGTTATTAAAATTATGATAACGTGAATATCGAGAAACAAAAACAAAAAAATTTAGAGGGGGGGGATTATCACGCATTCATTTTTTAAAATTATAATCAATCAATCAATATATCGATCGATCGATCGATCTATCACCTGTTGATGAAAACAAATAATATTTTTAAAATATTCTCATATTTTTTCCAAAAAAAAAAATTTTTTTCCCACCCCCCTCCTGTAAATTATTTACTAAAAGTTAAAAGGGTAATGTCGTCTGGTAAAATAAGATTAAGGCCGAATCCGAAAGGTGAATATTGTGAAAAAGGGGGGGGGATGAATGATAAAACTTTGGAAAGGATATTATTATTTCAAAGAAAGCAAATGATAAAAGAGAGAAAGAGAGAGAATGAGAGAGAAAGAGAGAGAGGGAGAAAGGGAGAGAGAGAGAGAGAGAGAGAGAGAGAGAGAGAGAGAGGGAGAGGGAAAGGGAGAGAGAGAGAGAGAGAGAGAGATTCGACAAAGTTTTTGTAATTACTAAAAAAACTTACTTTTCCTAACCGTTTTATTATTGTTTTAAGTAAGGAAAAACAAAGACAAAACAAATTTTTTTTTTACACGTCAGTACAGTCAGTCTGGAAAATTTTTATAGTTTTAACGAATTATCATTATTATTATTATTTTTATAACTAAACTTAGAAAGTGTGATTTACGATCGAACAAACAAACATAAATGGAAAAGAAAAAAACTAAATTAACGTAATCATCATCATTATTATTATTCTTCAAAAAAGAAAAGTCACGTGGTTTAAATCCGTCCCTACCCCCGGAAAAAAATTTAAAAAACCGGAATTTCCGGTGAAATTTTAAATAAAAACGAGTTTCGCGCCAAAAAAAAAAAATCAATTCGCGATCACTTTAAATTTTTGTTTTGTTTTTGTTTTGTAAACAAAAAAAAAAACATGGCGGCTTTGAAAAATTTTGGGGGATGGGTACCGATGGTGAGTGGGAGGAGCTTAATTAAAATGGCGACGGAATTCGTAACGTAAATTTTATTATAGTTTATTTTTCTGTCTCGTTTTATAATAATAATAATAATAATAATAATTCGAAACGCGTGAAAATTATTATTTTTTGTAAAAAAAAAAATCGTTAAATTTGTTTCTAGTTTGTCATCTTATAA